GCTGCTGGGGTGGCGTCACCTGGGCTGGGGGGGTAACACGGACAGGAGTCTGGGGGGAACGAGGCTGTTGTTAAACTCATTTCCCAGCTGTTCACGTGCCAGATCAGGGTCTATCTACCTTTGTAACCTCCTCCTCTCCCTTTACTCTTCAGTATTTTAAATCCAAAGACTGATTTTACTCATATTTGACAAGGCGACATTAAGGTCTTACAAAAACCCCAGACAAATCGGCCCTGCCCAGTATTCCTACCCCTGGGGGCAGGAGGGCTGGCCCTGGCTGAGAAATGCCCAAATTTGGCCGAGATCTGGAGAAATCTGAAGTGTCTGGGGCGGCACTGCTCCGTAATTCCACAGCTTCCAGTGCAGCCGCCCTTCCAACGCACTACAAAGTCGGGCATCGCTCATCCCTGCCAGGCTGAGGAGGAGTGCCAAGCACGACTGACAGCTCCCAGCCACCTCGTTACCAGCTCCCAGAACAGCCTCTTTGCTTTGCTAATTGTTCTATTTTCCCTGCTTGGGTCACGGTCTGCGCTCAGGCTGCTGGGGCACGGAGCACGCAAGACTGGTAAGGATGAGAGTCGTAAGGTCCTTGTAAGAGCACGTGCAGCTGCCTAGTAGTAATTTTAGATTTACCCATCCAATGACGGGTCAATAAATAAGTGATGTTATGGCTAGTTCTCCAGAATTCCTTTATCAACCCGTACAGTACCTGCCAGGAACCATTTCCAGCCTGCAGGAAAAAAAATCCTGTATACCTTTTGGTAAACCTGAGCGCGACAACGCCACGGGTAGCCAGAGGAGCAGCTGCTCCTGTTCTCCGAGGCTCGCGGTGGGGGAGAAAATGATTATTGCACAAAATGGGAATCTCAAGAGTAATGATTTTTGTATAGGGTTGTTGCTTTCTGAGGGGTAATTTGTCTGTTTAGAAACAAAAGGAAAAAAGTACTGCAGGAAGGTCTGAAGCTTTTCTTTGACTAACAATTGCTCGCTCAATTTATCATCAACAAATAAACATATTAAATTCCCACATAATTATATTGTAATTTTTCGAGGATTTGTGGTTTGCCGCTGTGTTGGGGCGCAGCTGCCCCAGATAGCAGGGCTCTGCTGGGGAGCTCCCTGAGAGCTTTAATTAATTACAGGTGACTCATACCTACAATTTCGTCATTTAGGAAAGTTGTCCCACTCTCTTCCAATTTTTCTTTCCCCCTACAAGATTCAGCAAAGCCAAGCTGCAGTGACCAAGGCTCAGCTATACTCGGCCACAAACTCTGCAGTAAGGCTGGTGGAGGATTCGCTCCCCTGCTGCCCAGTCACCTACACGAGCAGGAGACCCGACAAGCTCAAGCACCTGGTATCTCAGCTCACCTCTTCACGTAGCTGCACTTGTCCTTGAATCCGCGCAGAACTGTTTCTCAAACCAGCAGCACCATCCAGGGACCGTTCTCTGTGGAGAATGCACGGTGAGCCAACAAAAACTATTATTTTCCAGCTGAAAGCTGCGTTTGACATTGCGAGCGGCAGCATTAGCACTCCAAAGGTGCCACTTGAGATCCAACCTTCGCTGCATTCTAATGCGAGACGCTGCTGTCTCGCCCTGGTTTATTTGAGGAGCGACTCACCCACAGATTGACTGCGGCTTGGCAGCCTTCTCTGAGCACAGCACCCACGCTAAGGGGGCTCGGACCGAAGCAGCAGCACTGCTTGTTGCCTGCCCTTCCCTGGGCTGGCCTGGCCACAGCGGCCAACGGCTGAACGACCAGCTCACGGATCTGGAGCACGCACAGACCTCCACCGCGGCGCCGTGCCGAGAGCTTTGTGCCTACTCAAGGGTGCTGCTGAGGCAGGTCGCCAAAAGCAAACTGGTGGTGCGGCCCAACGGCAGCGCCAGACGTTCGACATTCTGCGCCATTCCATGTAGTCAGAACCTTAATGGGCAACAGACGGAGGCAAGAAGCCCTGTAAATTAGCCGCAGTACTATGGGTTCAATTACGACTGTCTTTTCAATTAACTAATGGTCTTTAAGCTTTACAAAACAGGCAATCATAATTTAACTGTGAGAAGACACCATTACAAATACTGAAGTAGTACTCTGGGAAGCAGGAAGGAGCATTCTGCTATGGGAATTTAAAGAATTGCCTGGTCTTTCCTTCCCAGGAGCCTTACAGGTCTAATTTCAGTTCTCATCCTGCTTCAGTTCCTGCTTGGCTTTCCTCCAGAGAAGAGTTTCCTTCGGAGGAGGCCGGCAGGCTGCTGCCTTCCCTCTGCTGACGCCAAGTCCTCACCCTCGGTGGGCGACGGTCCCTCCTGTCAGCAGGGCTGCCTGTGTAACCCACTAAGCCCTACACTTGGAGGAACAACTTTTCCAGTGAACAGCCGGAAGGTGACATCCATCAACGGCCACCAACCCGTCACCCGCCCTCCAGGGAAAGGTCCTGTCTGCTGCCTCTCAGCAGCTGCTGCTGCAGGGAAGCCCTACGGACGGGCGCTTCTGAAGAGAGAGCTCAGCAGTGCAGCAAATGCTGTGAGAGATGATAAACCAGGTTCCGTCCCCTTGTAACGCCCGGAGTGTAACGTAACAAGACCTCTGAGATTCACAGAGGAAGGAATGGACTTGTCAGAAACCGTGACTGCAAGACTTCAGTATTTTCCATCATGTTTTTTTCCATTTACGTTCCTGCAGCTCTGGATAGAATTTTCTCCTTTTGACAGCATTCATGATGCTGTGATTCAGAGGTGACCCCTCTTGGAGGACGAGCTAAACAATAATCCTCCTCGCTCAACACTAAATTGGAGTGAATAACCAGACGGACAAGTAACCCCTCACAGTTGTTATGCCCACAGCTAAGAAAACCACCAGAGAGGTGTGCGTGTCCACGGAGACTCCTCCAGCCTGGGGCATTAATCTTCAAACACGAATAAAGACATCTGATTAGCCTAAGTTATTAAAGAAGTACATTAATAAATTAGTTTGTTGCAGTGAATGAAGCAAATAACTTCACCGCTTCTTTAATTAGTAGCTACTAAACCGCAATGACAGGACAGCTCTCACTTTGGGTTTGATCAGCTCTGATTTTGGCCGGGTGGCTGAGTTTGGCAGCTGCACTAACTCAGCCGCTTGCTGCATTTATCGGTACTTTAAAGTGCTGCCATGGGAATTAAACACTACTGCTGGGCACACTCATGCTTTCACTGCATTTTATTTAACAACTTGTTATTTTTCACTTATATTCAAGTGCAGAAGCTCCAACGTGTTCCAAATTTGCCCAGCACAGACGGAACACAGGAAAAAAAAAAAAAAAAGTCCTTCCGATGGCAAACTAAGAACTTAGTACTGACTTTTTCAAGGCAATTAAATAAACCAAATGAAAGTTTGTTTCTTTTTTTTTTTTTTCAAACAAGAGGTAGGGAGGCACAGGGAGAAGGAAACACTGGCAAATCTCATTGCAGCACCTGCTTTAGATCCATCTCAAGAGAGATGATGAGATTGCTGTAATCCACATGGTGGAGGTTCCAGTCTGGCAAAGTCAAAGCTTACTTAAGCTGAAGGTGGCTCCCAGCTGCTAGGCTGCAGTTAGGTGGGGTCTGTTTTTTCCAGATGAGGTTTTCACAGTCTCTGTATTATTCAAAGTTTTGGAAGAGGATCAGGAATAGGCAAATGCTGTCACAGTATCAAAAAGTCTTTCAAAAATGAGTTTGCTAGTGAGATGAGTGTGGTTTGTAAAGGACAGACCGTTCATGCCAGGTTGCCGATCCAGCCGGCCGCACCACGTTGTTCGTGAACGGTTAAAGAGGTAGGTGTGCTCACACGGTGACTTTCTCCATGACACTGTCTGTGACGTGCACCTCGTCGGCTTGCACCGTCACTGTGGCCGACTGGCCACAGATATGCTGGTGGTCCTTCCAGTCCTGCGAAGGAAGGGCAGATGGAAAGGCCATGAAGGGAAATACAGGGGGAATCTCATGGTATCAGTTACTGACAAGCACTTCAAGCTCTCCCACCCTATTCCAGTGCAGACACCAGCTACAGGCATGGGCAGATGTCCCCTTGGACACAGAGAGCTGTCTGACTCTCCCCAGGGTCACGCAGCCCTCTCCAGATGACTGAATCTGTAACTCACAAACAAGCTTATACCTTCCGCTGGCAGAAAGTGGAGCAGTAGTTGACTTTGTGGCATCCCGTGCACTCGTTCGTTGCCTCACGACCACAGTTGACACAGGACTGCTGTGAAAATGGACGGCAAAGCGACCACGTCAGACAGAACAACAGCAGGGAGGTCACCTGTTGTTGTACGTAAGCGTAATACAGTGTAACACGACATAACGCAAGAGCAGTGGTAAAGCCTCTGTTTCCCAATATATCCTCAACACAGGAACACAAACCAAACGGGCCCAGTGGCTTCTGGACATGCCTTCAGAGACCCGCTCTCCTCGCCATGTTAGCAGGGATCACTTTGGAAACCAAAATGTACCTCTGTTTTCCTTTCTGGTGGGTCAGAACCCCTCAAAACCGTGGGTGAGGTCATGGAAATCTCTCCACAATAGCACAGAGATGTCTCCCTCCACGTAGGTCGTGTATCTTACCAACCACAGCCAGGTTACTGCAGGCTTCAGTAGGAGCCAGTTCTAACCAAGGGCAGGTATGTTCAAACAGCAGTGTACAGACTATAAATTTAAAACTTTAAAAGGCAGATTTGGTTGGTGGGTTTGTTTGGTTTCTAATCCTGCATATGTCTGAGAGAGGGTCTGAGGAAGGACAACAGGAGTGGGAATAAGGATGGGACCCTTTGGTTTAATCTTTCCCTGGTTTTAGAGGGAAAAGGGATCTGCTCCCATGGGCTGAGCAGGCTTATGCCTTTGCCAGTCAGCAGCATGACTACATAAGCAGTATCCAAACAGGGAAACAGAAGACAGAGGAGTAAAATTAAGAAGGCTATAACAGGAGCAAGGACTTAAACCTAGAAGTAAGATGAGATAGGATACATAGATGAAAAATCACACCTGTTTTTTAAAGAATATTTTTGTGTCTATCGCTTTAATCTTGTATCAGTGACATCAATTAACATAACCTGTATATTTAGGTGGAAATATCATTGAACTACCACAAAAATAAGCACTTCACAGAGCATTCCGTTTCCAACTCATTAAATTACTGACAAATCATTAGCACGTAAGAGCAGCAGTGTGAGGCTCTGACAGGAAGCGTTTCTCGGCTGTGAAAGCGGTGCTCGACACAGGCGTCTTTAGTCCCACCAGCTCCTTCTCTTTTGAGCACAACCAACCTAACGATCAGCGCCCTGATTAACACCGAGTTCATCACACCATCTGCTCACATCTTACCAACGTACCTACAATTAACAATTGGTGTGACTGAGCTATATTTGTATTCCTGATGTACAGCCAGGGGTTCAGGCCACCAAAAAGGGGCTTAAGGCTGCTCTTTGGGACTTGCAAAGCCTGTCCCAAAGGCATACTTGGTTGAGGCTGTTCATAACCTGTACGGTATTGGAAAATGTTGAAAATACACAGTGTGTGCGCTTGTACCTGGAGATCTTAGAAGGACTACTGAATAGCACATACCGCTGTAAGGGTTAAATCATGGGTCCTGCACTAACTCAACTCATACTCCCATTCCAAAAGCCAGAGGGAATCACGCAGCTCTGAAAAGCAGCAATACCATTACTCAGAGGTGAGTGAGATTGATTAACCTGGCCAGATGACAATAAAGGACTGGGAAAACCTGTAAGGCTTGGGAAAAGGGACACAATCTGCTCGAGCAGAGCATTAGTCCTGCTAGGGAAAGCTCAGATCTCTGCCAGAAGGCAAGGCCAGACATAGAATACATGACTTCTGTAGCAATGATGAAAATCTGCATCTTTAAATGGAACAAGAACAAAAGGCTCTTCATAAAATACAAGACATCCCCAGCTTACCTTGATGATGATTTCTGTTTTCCCATCCACATCATCTGTTTGTTGAAATAACTGGTTCTGATATTGCTGCAAGGAAAAATACAGCAGACTTGTCATTTCACAGCCAGAATATGACGTGAGGGGTTGAACGGGGTGCTCTGTACGGAAGGCCCTGACACTGAGCTTGCTTCTGTCAAGCCCAAAACTGCAGTTGCAAGAGGACAGAGGGGACTCTCGCTCCTCCCTTCTGAGAGAAGGGCACGATGACCTTACGTGGAGACAGATGAAGAAGCCTGTGAGAAAACGGCCCGAGGTGACAAACTGCCAGTTAAGTACCGCATTTACTCAAACCCCACTCTCCCCACTCCATCCAGCCAAGCATTCCTTCTCACCACACGAGTATCTAAGAAGTTAGCAAAGGAAACAGGAGGAAAACGTCAAGGTAATAGGGCCAAGTGCCACCTTCTTGGGCCAAATTTTGGGTCAAGTCCAGTGATCCTAAGCCACTAACAGGCAAAAGGAGTCTGGGGGGATGGCATAGCCCAACAGAATGGATTAGGAAAAAAAACACAGACAAAAGGAACACACAGCGTCAACCATAACCATTATTCCTCCTTTTAATAGACATAAAAGGGTTTTCAAACAGTTTTTCATTTAAGCATTCCTCTGGAGGTGACTTTTAAAGCACACTTTGGGTGTGTTGCAGATTTACTCCAAACCAGTTCAGTCCAGCCTGGTGCCACTCCACCTACTGCCTTGCCACGCTCAGCAGCGAACACTGCTGAGACAGGAGTCCTAAACCAAAGGAATTCCAAACCGATCCTGGCTTGTGTGCTAACCCTGACTTAAATTTATTTGGAACAGTTAAAAAGCAAGAAAAAAGCCGAACCCCCACCTTCAGGCAAAGCAGGTTTATCCAGGGGTGACTATGACCCAACATATAAGGAGATTAAAGGCTTAATTTACAAGTGTCTCTATGACCTGACATCACAGTATTTATTCTCCTGTGAAATCACAACCTTCAAAACCTTTATATTGCCATGACACAAATTCAAAATAAAAAACTCCAGGGAGATGAAGGAGGCGGCAGGGAAACCACTGCAAGGGGTGTGATTGGGTTCTGCCATTATCTGATGAAGAGGTGAGACCAGGCTAATTAGCAAGACAGGACACATGCACGGCATCCCCAGTGCTTCCAGTACTGCGTGGGCAAAGTGGGCATCAAGTGTATGGACATTTCAAAAGTACTATTTTGAAAACCAAAATTGTGTCCAAGCCATAAGCATTCTTGTGAAGACAGGGAATACACCGGCAAGCTTGAGATGTGGCCTCTGGTGTAAGAATCAATCCTGCCATGTCTCAGGAAGAAAATGACCGTAAGTCGTGAGAGAATTACGAACATTGGTGAGCACCAGCCGTGGAGAAGCTGGGACTCAACGCCTCGTACTGCAGCCTCTGCCCTCTGCCACTCCGTGCACCGGCAGAGAACTGGGCTGGCAGGAAACGGTGGATTCTTCAGGAAAGGTTAAAATGAGTTTTCCACTGTTAACTGAAAGACAAATGACCCACGTTAAGAGTACTGGCCTAGGAAAACTGCGTAATGTTTCTAAACTTCGTTTTAGTGAAGAAAGTGGGAATACAGATGCCAAAGCGTGCGGTGAGCTGGCATTTCAACCCAGCTTGAAAACCTTTGTGCACATAATCCCAGCTGGCACCATCCCCTCCCCAACAGCCCGCGCAGAGACAGCGCCAGGACCGAACATGCCGAATTCCGGTTCTGCAAAAGTGCTGCAGCTCCAGAATTAAAACCTTTCCCACCACCAGACGCCACCTCATCCTCTGCAAGTGCACCTAATCCTGTTTTCCAGGGAGATCACCAATGAGGAAGAGATCAAGAGGAAGCCCAGCCACCTCTGTCCTGGTCTAAGCCACAGCAGCTCCTCCACCTCTGCTCTCAGCCCCCGAAACCTGCTGATGGAAACCACACGTTTAACCTCCTTCTGTCTCCTTTTTATCTATCCGCATAGCGAGTCCTCTGGTTCTGCACAGCCCATGGTGTGAAGAATTGGAGCCATTCAGAAACTATGGAGAAGGGAAAGGTGTGATAAGAGGGAGGATCAAGACAGACACAACCAGATCTCTCAAAAAAACAGCTCCAGAAAACCGATAAGCTCCAATTCTCAACCGTTTTCACTGCTGGTTGGGAGTACGCAAACATTATTTGCTTACTAGAGCTACACTTCTTAAATGCCCGACCCTTTTTAGGTTAATTTCATACTCTCTAGCCCTGAACTGTTTTAATCTTTCTAAAAAAGAATTCAGATGGTCCAGCTGTTAGCTGATTTAATCTTCCACCTTGTTTTCAAATGGGCTGGGCTCTGAAGGCATCACTGCATTACACAAAGAAGGCTATTTAAATTAAAACACTGGTCAGATTTCAACACTGATTCTTTTAAATGTATACAGAAAAACTATTTAACGCATTTCCTGAATATCTTTATTATCTTCCAGCAACGTCTTCCGGCACAGAATTTGGGGAGTTCATGTATTCTACCCCTCCTAAAGTTTATCTGATATAAACGATGGCTTAATGCACACTCAAAAAAATTACTTTGCCAAAGCGCACAGACCTCTGTGTAAAGTGCTGTCTTTAATCCATTCCTTTTGGGCCAGTCCTGCAAGTTGTCAAATATCTCTTGTACGAGACACTGAGCCTTTGCTGCCGCACTCACTCTCTTCCTAAATGTTTTTCCCTAAATCAAAAAATGCAGTAAACCCAACATTCAGAGAGTAACCAAAGAATCAGACACACTCAGTCACGAGCTAATTAACAGTGGAGAACTTTGTCTTAACAGCTGCAAGAAGTTCTGACAGAGCACTTGTATGCAATGAATCCCGTGCAAAATGCATTCAGAGAATAACCAAAGAATCAGATACACTCAGTCACGAGCTAATTAACAGTGAACTTTGTCTTAACAGCTGCAAGAAGTTCTGACAGAGCACTTGTATGCAATGAATCCCGTGCAAAATGCTGCAATTCAGAAAAAACTTACAAATATTTTGATATTTTCTTGCAATAAGCATGACACATTTTAGAAGTTAATATAAATGCTGAGCTGGAGGGTTTACAGTTTGCTTTTCTTTCAGAATGTCATTCCCCAAGACTTCTGTGCAACATAAACGTAACTTGTATTTGATGTTTGCCACTACAAAGCTGTGCGCAAGCTGAGCACCAGCTGCACATGCGCCTGTTTACACACAGAAAGCACAAGGCTTATGCCCATCACCGTTTCTTGCCTGAAACTAACTCTGCGAGGGCTCTGCTTATTAATTACGGAGTTCTCATCATCAACAGGCACATGAGATACTGCAGACAGCATACACAACAGGAAAGGTATTTTTAACTGCTTTCTTAGACTCTAGACAATTTTGTTTCAAAAGACATGATTGCAAAATAGGTATCCTCATAAATGCTGCAATTATAGATTTCAGGCTTACAAATTGTCCTTATTTCTAGGACTTAGAAGGTTAACGCTTTTTTACACAGCCTTTTACCAGATCCTGTCACTTTCCAAACTAGTACGCAAGGCCTCTGTGAAGGAAGCATTATCCTTATTTCAAAGAGCAGGCTCTGAAGCCCAGAGAGGCCTAGGACTTACCCAGGGGCATCAAAATAACCCGTGGCAAGGACGGAAACAAAATTTGGAAGAGATCCGCAGTCTTGAAATTCGCCCAGCAAGCCACGAACCTTAAACAAATTTACCGAAAAAGGACAAAGATCGCAACAGAGTGCACGTGAGGAGTTCCAAATTACAAAATTATGTGCAAGAAAAGCTCTGTTGGTGAAGCCTTTAGCTCCAGCACTGGGAATCTGACCTATAGTTTCTTTAGAACAGCCAAGAATGTCACCAGACCCTGCCACAGGGCATTCTATGGCTGTAATTGTACCAGTAGGGAGGCAGAGTGAAAAAAACCTCACGTCAGACATGAGAGAAGAGGGAAGACAAGCGCATTTTTCCATATTTTCTCTAATTGCCTGTGAAGATTGGCATTTATATTCCACTACTGTACAGCCTGACGCCTAAACGCTCAGCATTTCCCAGTCCAGCCCCCCTGTTGTTTTTAAGGACTCTAGGTATTGCCATGTGTCTGGAACTGCAATTAGGGATCCAACCCTCATGAAAAATTCAGATTAGACATGCCATCTTAAGGAAGAAACGTGACTGTGGATGCTTCTAATTTATGCTGCACTTATAATTTTTTACGGTTTCCATGCGCTGCATTTAGCAGATCCCCTTCCTACCACAATTCCTCTCTGACGTTGGCATTTCCACCTTCAAAATGATACAAACAAGGGGAATAATGTATTCCTAAGACTCCTTTGAATAGTCCTGGATAATACCATTAGCAAGGGTGACCAGAATGAAACAGTGATGTCCGCTCTTTGACTTCACAGATAAGAACGTAAGTGTACAGGCAGCACAAACGCCTCCCCTGCTCAAAGGAAACTCAGAGCAAAAGCCTGGCTTTCACAGTTCAGAGCTCTGTAAGTCCCACAAGCACTTACCACTGCTCAGTATAGAGGACAACTTCTGGTATTTAAAGCTAAGTCAACTAAAGTGCTGCAATATGGAAGCAGACTGGCTCATTTGTGATATTTAATGAGCTCCAAAGCTCATTAAATAATAAGTATAATAAGTGAAACACAATATAGTGAGTGATTTGCAATGTACAAGGCATATAAACTGTAATTAAAAATTCTTCATGCTTAATTTATTGCTCTCTAGGAAGACTGAAACAAAACTAGCACACAAATAAGTTTTCCTATGTGTTCACTGTTCTTGCCACTTCTCCTCTACTCTGCTTAAACTTGAGGCCACTTCAGATTTCCTCTGAAGGGCAGGTAAAGGCAGCGCTGTCCCAAGCGCTCTGTCTTGCTCTTGTCAGAAGGCAGAGGCGCTCTCCCTGTTCAGCATGGGTGACAGAGCAATATGGTCAGGGATACGGACAGTTACAAGATCAAAAGTGCTTGAACTCAACAGCCTCAAGAGCTGGAACATTAAACTGGAGGAATAGCTCTGCACCGCTGTGAAAACTGAAGATACGCGTTAGTTACAGTCACGGCAATGAAGTTTGTGCATCCAGTTGGGAACCAGCCTGCTCCTAACAGATTTCTTTAATCCTGCTATGTATTAAGTCACTCTTCCAGGAAGAGCTGAGTCTACAGCTCTATTATAATTTAATCTGTTGTACAGCCTTTGCTCCGCAGCTCTGATACAATGACACAATCTTTCACTTCTAAATACCTAGGAACATACTGCAGCACAGAAATTCAGCAAACTGGTGGCTCTCCCGCAGAGAACTGCCCACACTGCTGCATTCACCACCCCCGCTCGTGCAAATGGAGGAGGTGGCGAGAAGGTTCCCCTGTTTGTTAGCCCTTGGAAGTTCGTTCAGTGTAACGAACACAAAGGGGTGATAAAGCACCTGTTTCCTTTCCAGCAAAAATCAACACCAAGGTAGGAAGGCAGACACCTCTTTCTCGCTCTTATGTACCTTAGACCACACACATACTTAGGGTGGGAAAGAGAGTTGTGTAACAAATCAGGGAAACATTCATGAAACTGGAAAAGCACTTTTGACCAACACAAAAGTAGATAGCCAATTATTTGACATTTATTGTAATTACTTCCAATGCCAGCCCTGTACCCGAAACCCAGAGTTTTTTCCAAATATGGAACTCACTAGAAGGAATTCAGAAATAGCTACTTGCGATATCGCCCAGATGGTTCCAGAAGCTAGCACGCAGCCGCAAGCTTGAGAATTGTTATTTGGATATTAAAAAAATACCACCGTGAGCAAGTGTTTTTATCAAAATACAGAACTGTTGAGGTACCCGTTACATGATAAGACCGGTAAGACACACAAGTTGTATAACTGGGCATTCAGCAGTTACTGAGAAAGGGGCTTCCTCTGGAAACACGCACGTGCTCATCCTTGCCTTGTAAAGTCAACACTTTAATCAATATACAGGAGTGATTTTAACTCCCATTCCTGGGGCAAGAAGAAACTAGAAGTCCACTGAAGTGGGCTGGATTTGGATCAGAGGATGAGAGGAATGGACTCTGAACAACCGTTCCAGAAACCACTGTAAGGATAAACAGAAGGGAAGACAGCACATAAACTGGAAAAAGAGCAGAGAGCGAAGTTAAAAAAAGTCAGATGTTCATCTCTAAACTGTGTCAAAGCTTCCAATTTCTCAGTATCCCACGCTCTACACAGCATTTTAGCAGCAGATGGCCCAAACCTGGACAGCAGCACGAATACCCATTCCGCCCAGGCGGAAGGCAGGGAAGAATTAGACTCTCAACGTATCACACACCTGCACATCAAGGATGCAGCGTACAGAAGAGTTTAGCAGAGACAACGTGGCAAAGAATATCAAAGACGCTGCAAGGACTGTCATAGGGGTTCTCAGTTCTCAGCAAAGTCTTCCCACACACATTTCTTCAAGGTCTCTTGCTGCACACTCGTGCCTATGAATTCAGTGGAAAGCTGACGTTAGCAATAACGCCGATGGCAACAGCAGATAGTGTGGTGTACAGGAAGGGAGTTCATCAGCTACCGACAACGCCACCAGTTTCACAGTACATTGCCCCCCACCTCTCTCCCTCAAGTCCACACCAGCGGCTGTGGATCTGCGGGAGAAGGGGAACGCATTCAGCAGTGCATGGAGCCAAATTCGGGGTGCATGCATGAGCTGGTGTTAAGAAGAATCCAGGGTCCCTACCATGCATCAATTAAAGAGAAGAAAAGCAGGGAGAACAGGGCAGTCCTTGCAGATAATCCCTTACAGAGGAGAGAAGGGCCACTGGGTACAAGCCAATACTCTGGTAATGCCCACCGGCCTGGCAGTCTTACCACAGGACTTTGCTTGCACAATGCTCAGCAAGACACCTCTAAATTTTACTGCTTATCTTGCCCATAAACTCTGCAGCTTGCTGTTCTTTTTATCCCTCTGCCTCTTTGGGCCATCGAAAACCTCTTTGATAGCCCTGCTCACTTGACATAAAGAAAGCAGCCACCGCACAGCTGAACACTCACCATCTTTCCTATACCAGGATTCAGTGTCCACATCTCATAAATTTAAGGATGGCTTATGGGAGAGCTCAGGACTCGTAACTCCAGTTTGTATTACTAGCCTGCTACCCGCAGCTCTTGGAATCCCAGAGCACTCTACTCCTTTCCCCATGATACGAATAATTCAGAAACATTTGTCTTGGTAATACTGCTCTCAAGACATTGAGAAACAATTTCTAAGGGCTACCACTGTTACAGTCAGTGACAACCAGTGAAATATTACTCTGTTCATCACTCAGCCAAAACGATGCCCTTGGCTGAGTCAGCTACCTCCCCTAGCATAATTACCTCTTTCCTCTCCACATCAGCTTGGATTTTTGCTTGCGTGACAGCAGCCTCGCGGAAAGAGGAGCTGGCCTGTTTGGCCTGTTCAATGAGAGTCTTCAGCTGCTGGGCGGTGTTGAGCAATGAATTGACCATCTCTTCCAAGTACAGCCAGCTCCGCTGCTCCGTCACCTCCAGCCCATTCACCACTGAAGGGGATATGGCTTTGGTGGGGGTCGTGGGGGGCACCGCCAGGGCAGGGAGCGAGGTTAACACTGAATATAAAGAAAGAAAAAGAAAATATATAGAATTAGGGCATTTCATTTCCATAAAATGGGAGGGGGGGGTTGTGGGTGTTTTTGTTTGTTTGTGGGGTTTTTTTATTTAATACAGTCTGCAAGAATTTGCAATCTGGCTGTTTTTGCTGACCCACAATGCACAGAATCCATCTGTGCAGAACAAGCCCTTGGGGCGTTCTCTAAAACACATAGGCCAGAAGGACATGTACTCCTGACCCTATTTACTCCGGGAAGGAATTAACACCTCCTAGCATTGCTGCAGAAAGGCACAATTAGGCAGTGAAAGCAGCATTCCTGGAGACTCCTCTGCCACTGTCATCACAATGTTCCACCTCATGTTTCCATTAACTGTCACTAACTAAGGTTGTAATAAGTCCTTCAGTGACTCAAAAGGTCAGGTTTTCTGAAATATTCTGATGTCACTATACAGATGTCAATTCTCAGGTCACTGATCCCCTCCACTCCCTGAATTCTGATCTTAACCATAACTCTGGCCCAAGACTGGAATATAAACAAGACAGTTATCATCACCTCAAAATTACATGTATTACAAACATTCCAAAACCACCGGTTGGGAAGCCCTTTAAGAAAACCCTCAACAATTGTCATTTCTTTGGACGCCTTCGTCCTGCATCCTACTCATAAAACAAACTATAGCCATAAAATACACATCTCACACTAAAAGACCACAGATTTTAATAACAGGTATTCAGATCTATATGTATCTGTTTCAAAGATCCTAGGCATTCTGAACAGCAATGCTCCTTGCAGCTCTGAAACCTCTCCTTGCCCAGTCCCAAAGGTGAGAGTAAATGTATACAGTCCAGATGGAAGTTCTAGCTTCAGACACTAACATCTCCTGACATCTGCTTTACATTTCCTGCCTTGGACAAGAAATTTCCTTCTTGAAAACGGCCCTTCACTCTGGTAAAAACTAGAATGCTACAGGTATGAAATGAAATACAAAAGCACAGAAGCCCAGCACTACTAAACATACTCCAAGGGGCATTAAAAGAAGAAAAAACCTCCAAACAAACGAAACAATTATTGAGCTGTTGCAGCCTTTACTTTTTCATATCCTAGCCACAATCTTAGCAGTAACTGCAGTTTGTAGGAAGCCACCAGAACGAAGCTAAACTCCCACCATTGTAACCTAATCACACTTTCCTTGAACTTGCCTCTAACCACCTCAATTATCGAAGCTCTGCAGTCCTCCCTTTCCCAAAGCCTGTGTTAGAAAATTAAAGTGCTGGAAAAACAAGGTCTGTCTTAGCCTTACCTTTGCAAATGTTTCAAAACCAGCAGTTACTGTGTCACTAAAACACCTACTTTTCACATCACTGGGCTTGCAATGTACACTGGGAGACCAGAGAGTGAGGAAATTAAATGTAGATCCAGGATCCCAACAATACACAGTGTAAGCTCACCTCAGGCAACGTTTCCAGGAACAAATGTTATCTGGCTTTACTTTTCCAAAATTTAACTCTAACTCTGCCATAAATACTCTCCATCTGCCATAAAATTAAGTGCAAGACATTCACATCTACCTCTAAATTCCTAACTAAACTGTTTGCTAGAGAAAAAGAGGGCACCACCAACTTTGAGGCTGTGCAGTCTTATTACCCCAAAATCTACTAATAGAAGAGCTGTTAGTATTCCAGGTTGCAAAAGCCAATTAGCTGCCTTGATTTTTAAATAGCGAGTGACACGTTCACATCATAAACGCATGACCATTCCAAGTGATAGATGCTATTGCCTTCAGAGAAACATTTAACACAGCCGGGAATACAACTTCAGAAGGGCTGGACCATTTAAATCCTGTTCCCATCCCGCCAGTGTCTGCTTTCCTTTTAGAAGCATTAATTTTCACACCTCTAGCGCCTCTGCCAAGCAGCTTGTCTCCCAGCTCCCGCACTGCTGATGCTACCCAAGATAATGCACAGATAATGTCCTTGAGCATCTGCAGCACTACAAGGGAGTGCCCTGCAGACAGCTGCAGGCAGCAGAGATGCCACTGCTGCGTACTGACCATTCTTTTCATTAAAATGGACCGTTACTGGAGCCGGAGTCTTTTCCTTGAAACCAGAGTTAATAAATTTACTAAACGGGAAGTTCTTGAACTAAACGTAGGAGGTTGGAGTCTCTGAAACGCACTTTATTCTCACTTTATTACCGGTCTCCCATCGCAATCCATTTTGGATGGCATCGCAGATATTGGCACGCTGTCTAAGGTGGCTCCAAAAAGAAAGGCAAAAACGAGCCTCAAGCCTCTCTCGCTGAAGGATGGGATGCAGAATAGCAAACTGCACAGCCCAGTAGACCCCCTCATTGAGGAAAAAAACCTTGATTACACTTCAAATGGTACTTAAAATTCAAATGTAAATACTGTCCTGAAAAAATTCAACTGTAATTACTGTCCTGAACAGCAACAGGCCAACACACCTTTCTGTACCAGGCTGCAATCCCAGCAGTTCTACTCACACTGAACCTCTCCTTAGTAAAGCATCTGCAGACAAACAAGACTTCTTGCAAGACCGCATTGAACACTGGATATCTTCCAAGACAGCAATTAATTTAAGCGCGTTAACGCTTCAACCCTTTTCAAGTCATATCTGGTAGTTTTTCGTGCAAGCAGCAAAAGCTGAAAGAATCCAGCACAGATTTGTAGAGAGAGAGCAAGTCTCGAACCCCACGGTACGGCAGGTCACCGCATGTTAGATGTGCAACCTTTTCTGACAGCATTGCAAGTTCACCACACAGGTAAACCGACATTTTACACTCAATGGCCCTTAATTAAAACAGTAATTTCAATCAATTTGCACATGACTGGCAGAGAACTATTTGCACTTAGATATGAGTAAGAGATAAACCGGTCTTTTATCAGTAGCTGTTTGCAGAAGAGCCTTTCCTGCTGCTATATTTCCAGCACAATATTTATCCCCACGTGGCATTTGATAACTTATCTAACAGGAATTACTTCCGATTCCTCATTTTGGCATAGGTATATCAGTCAAGAGAAAGTATTCACCGGTTAAAAAAAAATAAAATCAATGTTTAATTAGTAACATCAAGATCTGACTAAGACTTAAAACCACCAACCAGATTTCATTCTGGACAGA